AGAAGTTGAAACAACTAATCCTTCTGTGTAGCATTGCAAATAGAGCCCTCCTGAGCTGAGAAAGGATTGTGGGACTGGGGGGAGGGAGGAGACCAGCATTTCACTAAGTAGCTGAGGCAGCAATGTTTCAGCTAAGATGATTTTGGGGAGTAGCTGCTTCATGAGGTGCTGTTTCACTAGAACATAAAGCAAAACACCTGAAAGAATCAACCTCTTGCCCCCTTCCTCCCTTTTTTTTTTTTTTGTTTGAGATATTTTAATTACTCTTAGATGTAGCTCACTGGTTTTGGCAAACTTGAACGTGGGTTTTGTAACTTAAAAATTCTGCACAGCTTGCTCACCAGGCTGCACTGAGTTCACTTGAGTGCATGGAGGAGTCAGACGGTCCAGCAGACCTGAGGAGGAGCAGGAGGGAGTCTCATGGTGGGGCAAACCTGAGGGAAGCATGGATGGTGTTCCAGCTGGCCTGCTGCTTCTGAAGGCAACTTACAGCGGCTGAAATGCTGTTCTCTGCTTTTTCATTTGTGTCAAGAAATTGAGATATTTCTGTTGTTTTACATACCTGACAGTTTGTGAGTTCTGCACAGAGTGCTGCTGTGTTAGTGCTACATTTAAATACACAGGTTTGCAGCAACAAATCTCCTTGTGCACATATAGTCCTTGATGCTGACTTGGTGCCTGAGGTAAGCGCTATGTGTGAGAATGGCAGCTGTCACTCTCTGAATTTCCTGGTCTTTGTGTAATTAAATTATTGGTCATGATATTGTCTTAGCTGTGGCAGGCAGACATAGCCTTGAATGCATAAGTATCTCTGGTTGGGTCACTGCATACTGTAGAGTGTGGGTCTCCAGGATACTTATGCCATCAGGGTTAAGGTTTTCTGGAGGTACAGTAAAAAAATGGGATTGGTAGGTTGGGATCATGCTCGTGATAAAATGGCCGCTTGTTGTTTTTCCTCCATCTCAAAAGGGTTATGCTTTTCTAATTTAAAATTAATGGCTTATCTAGATTATTTCCCATCTTTTACATCACACTTTAGCAAAAGAAATATCATGGGTTTTTTTCTGTTAGAAGAGTGGTTTCATGCTCACACCACAAGGGTGAGAAACAGGTATGGATGGGTTAGCATGTGCTGTCTATCCAGCTTTTCAGGAGCACTGCTATCCCCCCACGGGAGGGTGGGTGTTTAGAGGTAGCTATATCAGCTGCTAGGCATGTTTGTGAGCCCAGGACTATTTCTACAGAGTTTACATAATTCTTATAGAGCTCCAGAAGTCATGTTTTGGGGATAGTAACTTGCAAATAGCTCAGCTTTGTGACACAAATTCAGAAAATATCTCCTTGCAAAAGACTTCTTGAAAGCTCCTCCAAAAGACTGCAGAAGAGTTTAATTACCCATTCCAAGATTATCAAACACATTGGGCTCCAGGAGATAATTTCTGTTTTTCACTTCAGTTGCACTTTAATATTCTTTCAGGGTCTGACACGGAACGCGGGTTTCTGCTTTACAGAGCATTTGTAATATATGAGGGCACAGCCACAGTAGAGATAGCCTTTGGCTATTAAAACCCAAATATACTTAGACTGTTTGTTTGGCTCTTCTTGTATTCTATATACAATAGCTTTCTCGGTGTATGTAACCTGAAGGGGCTTTCCTACATCATGCTGGCTGCTGTTTTGCTTTGGAAGGAATAGAAACATCAACATGCCTTCTAATTTCCTCTGCTCTGGTTCTGTTTAATATAATTAGCTTACTAAGCAGTAAGACAGTCAAGGTCATTAGCATCAACTCCATTCTTTGTCTTGACATGTTAGCTACCCACTTTTCCTTCAAAATTATCCTTAAAAATCCAGTTAATTTTTAAAGTTTAGTAACTATAGGAACACATTCAGATTTGTGTTTTTCTCCTTGACTTCTGCATTGTGTTCTGTTTGAGTCCGGGGAGGCTCAGGTGTCAACTGCTTTTGTGCAAGATATTGTTCTCTCGGAGACCTGTGATACTGTTCCTTGTGTGTAAAGTGGAAAATATGGGATAGGTTCTTAAAAAAGTTCAGAGGAATGGGAATGATTGGCTCTGACTCCTGGAGCCTCACTGACCGAGGTGAATGAACAATTAAGTAATGGCAATATATAAGAAACACCTGGAAATGAACAGCTGTGTAATTTGGCCCTTTGTTGTGTCAAACAAGGGTGAGATTAGTTAGTAATTTGTATGAAAGTAAGCACCACAGTGCCCAGTCTTAGCTACATGGTGGTTTGATCGCAGGAGTAACCAGGCTTTTTCCACCTAATTTCCCTTACTGATCCCTGCAATTGCACTCAACTTTTTGTGGAAAGGATGTTTTCAAGCAGAGTTTTCTTTCTGAATATACTTTTCACTGCTTTTTCTTTCACAACCTGAAAACAAAGAAAAAATGCCAGTTAGGACTTGTCAAATACCTCTTCCATTCTGTCAGATGTTTTATGGAATGAACTTTCTACGTAACTGCATTAATTTTCATTATAAACACAGCAGTTGTGTTTATCTGGGAAATACTGTGGTTTAAAATGACTCATGTATACCTTACAGAACTATTCCACAGTAAACATATATTTTGTGTATAAGAGAAGTCCCAAAGGCAAAATTCTTCAGCTCTACTTCAATGTATGGCTAGAATTTCAGACAGATTGTCTATTTCAAAATCTAAACAAATCATTTGAGGCCTCTACATTTTTAGAATACTTCTTTTTTGATAACAACCACCTTGTAATGAAGTCTCTGAACTCTTTAGCATCATCTGTTCCGTGTAAGGTAGAAATGAACACCTCAAAGTAATTTTATTTATTTATTTCTAGATTTTTTATCTATTTTTTCTACCAATAATAGTAGAAACATTTACATCTTCTATATTATGGATATTTTCTGAAAAACGCCATGTTTATTTAATTAAACTGAGAAATTCCTTGGCTTTGTATACTAGAGGACAAAAGGATAAATTACATGCTTTCTAATTTTGAGGGTATTTGGCATAGTGCTGTCTGTATGCTGTGAATTAAAGAATGCCTGCTTGTTTTTTAAGTACAGGTACGCTATGTAGTTATTTAGGAAAAAAAATTTAAAAAAAGTCAGTCTAAATTGGAAGCTTGGAGTGTGGTGTTTTTTGAAACTGCTTTCAGTTGATGCTTAATAGTATTATAGTTGCCACAAGTAAGGTCTAAATCTGTCTATCTTACTTTGTTACTCACTTCTGGTAGAGAATTCCAGAGTACCTATAGCTTTATATTTATGGATGCCTTTTTTTTTGATGTCTGAGGCTTTTACTCTTTATTATGAGAGCTTATATTGTCTTGCATTGTAAACTCTGGTGACTGTTGTTAATCTGTGCAAAACACTGATTTTGCAACAAATGATCATTTTGCACACGCAGGAAACGCAACCAGACTCTTGATAACTATCTTCTTACTTTTTTTGCCCCGTGACAAATACAGTGCAGATTTACAGCACTATTTTGCTGACTGATGAAAGCAAATGTTTTCCTGGGAATTGCATTTTTTCATGTCCTTGCAGCTGCTGTCCATGTTCTTTAACCTCTTTTTAAAAGGTAACACTTCATCTTCATTAGATAAATTATATAATCTGTAAAGCTCCAGAGTTGGGACCACATGCAACTGTGCTGAACTTCTGCAGTACTTTTCACCTAGAGCAAGGTCAAGGCTAGGATTTCTGCAAGAGCTTTAGCACGATGCTTAAGAAGGCTTTTCTAAAAACTGTGATGGGAATCTCTCTAGGAATTGCAATGTGAGTGAGGAATAGACAGGCTAGAAATAAATAAGTAGATGTCCATACATATGCTTACACAGCTAATGGTTGAACAAAGAAAATTGATAACAAATGATTTAGAGAGAAAGCATATAGTTGTAATTTGCTGTGACATTTCAGGCATAAATGCAGAAATGGGGACAATGTAATAGAAATCTGAAGGTCCTTTGATCCCATTTCCTTTAATCTTTTAAGGTTACCTCCTTGTCTTGCAAAAGCTGAGAGGAGCACTCCTGTTGTGAAGGAACTGCTGCTGACACTGAAGGATGATGTTGAGTGGTGAGAGGAGAGGGCTGTTCTCTACCCTTGGCCTGGGCAGTGTCTGGTTGATCACTGCTGAGATGCCTTAAGTTGAGATGTCAGTGAATCTCTTGCAAGGAAAAGATAGGAATGACTGACTATTCACCTGTTCCTAATGCATGTTCCAAGCAGCAGCTGATGGAAGCTCCAGATTCTTGCAATGCTTTCTTGCTATGACAGTTAATTTTTCCCTATGAATTATGTAGGGAGATGTAACTTTGATTTCCCCCTGATGCTGTATCTATTTTTTAGTAGAACAGTTTTCAGTCTCAGCTTTTTGCATAAAAAAAAAAAAATTACTGGAATATTTGGATCAAACTGCTTTTCAGTCTCCCCAGACATCCTCTAATTTTATTCCAGCAGTAGCAAGAGGAAATATTCTCTTTTTCTTCTTCACAGATTTACAGAATGCAGATATGTGATATTGAGTTACAACAGTCTGACTCCAACATTGCTGATAGTTTGGTACAATTAAGTCAGGCCTAATCTTAAAATAGGCCAAAATCCTAAATAAATACAGCATTAGGATTGCAGTGAATAATTCCTGCTTTTTGAAAACAGTAATTGAATGCGCAGATATTAAAGGCAAACCACAGGAGGCCCAGTACATAAGATTTCTAATCTACTTAACAGGATCATTTTATATGGCTAGATTCAATTAAAAAGATAAATGCATTCAGTTTTCTCACAGGAGAACCTGTACATACTTTGTATTCAATCTAACTCATAGGGTGTAATTTTAAGCATTCACTGTGTCAGTGATTTGAGTTTTTTTGACCCTCCCAAAAATGAATTTATTGCATTAATAGGGCTCTGGAAGACTTGGCAAATCCTGCAAGGCAATTTGATTTTTGTCACTCTAAGGTGTCTGCCCACCTCTTTCTTTCCATTCTCTGACAGGGCCAAAGGGAAATGTGTACTTCTGCCTCCCATCTCTCATCCCCAGACTCCTGCACTCGCTTAAGCTGCTGGTGAAGGGCTGCAAGGGTGGGTTTAGTGATGTCCTGAAAGAGCAGCTGCTGGAAGGCACTCAGAGCTCATCTGTCAAAATCCAGAAATTTGTAGGGAATATTTGCGTGTTGTGACCTGTCTCTGAGAAATGGCAGTTGGGTTAGATTTGAGGAAAGGAGGTGGTAAGAAGATCCCCAAAACTCTCATAAAGAATTAGACTGTAGGTTGTTTGTCGGTTTGGGTTGATGCTCTGGCCTAAACTGGAAACTTGTTTGCAAAGTTTCTGTATGATTACCCACTGGCCTATAATGTATGAGCAGAGTGAGACCACGTTATTAAGTCATCCAGGACTGCAAATACGATGGCACTGAGGAACTATTTAACATGATGGTATTACTAGACAGTAGCTTTGTCTGACCTGTTTATTAGGATTGAGTCAAGTGATATTATATTGCTAAAGCCAGAAAGTAAATGACTGAACAAAATTTCCTAAGATGGTTCTAGCTTATGCCAGAAACTAACCATATACTCTGATTTATTACTTTATTTTCTATCAGCATAGAAAAAACTGACTATAAAAGTTTGCTGTAAATCTCAGCTTAAATTCTGTGCATGGTTTATAAAGGTCATTGTGCCCAAGGCTCCTTATTTTCCACTTAATCAACTACCACTTCCATGGCCCCCGTTGCATTTCAGCAAACATCCTTTCAGTATGATGTGACACACCCAGTGAATTTGCACAATGTGTGCTTGAAGGAAGCCCTGATCTTTTTACATGTGAGGACAATGATTCAAGTGTTTAAAATTATCTGAATGTTCTGCATATCAATTCAGCATTGTTGTCATGCCTGAGTCTTTCTAAATGTGAAATTAGTAGATTTAGAACCCAGAGCTCCCCTGGAGTGTCCCCATAGATAGATTGTAGGTCACAATAACATGAGACAACCTAATTACCATAGCCATTGAAGGGACTGAATGCACAGTAGGCACTGGATTATGAATGCTCAGTTCCAAGGAATCCATTCCCTAAATGGTTGCTGCTGGGTCCTTCATAGGCATTTTTATCTGTTTAGTCACAAATTTGTTCTACAACCATTGTGACAATATTATTACGTAAAAATATCTACAGTGGTGTAAAAAATTCATCAGCAAATACAAAATGCAAATGGCATAATTTTTTTTTTCCTTTTAATGCTGAATTGGGGTGGGGGTGGGGGCTGGGGAATCTGCTGATTCTAGTTTCAATTGTCATGCATGACTTCTCTGTCCCTTTTACATTTGTTTTTGTTTTTCTATATCACATTGCAAATGTGGGGATGGCCTGAGTCTGAAGCTCAGGAAAACTTGAGAGCTTAGATTTTAACTGTATAGCTGAAGATTTTTTTTTGTCTTTGTCTTTTTTTTATTTTAATTTTTTTTTCCCTGTAATGATAGTAGCCACAACACTGTTTCCATCATCAAAAAAGAAAAAAACTACTAGAAAGATCCTACTTCAAACTGGGGGACAGGCACCTTTTGTCTTCAAAAAGAGTACCCAGGTTCAGTTAGAGAACTGGAGTTCAATGCAGCTGGTCTCCAGAAATGTTGTTATGTTCTGTATTTATGGTCTACATTACTCATTTCTAAAACTGGTCATAGCAACCATCTTACTGTCCAACAATAACTGATGTTGCAGTGCTCATTTTTCTCTTTATTTTAAAGTTTAAACATTTAGAAACTCATGGGCAGGTTCTGCATGGCAGCACCCAGGTCAGCTGGTCCATGTCCTTTCTGCAGTATGGTTTGCTCTTGTCATAACATGAGCATGAATGCGAGCACTTGCATCTCAGATTCAGAAGGACCAATTCATCTTATATCATCTGGGAGGAGAGTTAAGTGAAAGGAGAGTAGAGCAGGTTTTTGTGTCACTGTATTGTGTGTGCATCACTAGAAAATCGTCCCATGTAGATGATGCCCTACTGTGTCTAAGTAAATCTCCATCCACACTTACCCCCCTGTAGCTCTTGGGACTGAGCTGGGCAGATCTGGCAGTAAGCTCTTGATAAAAAAACTTGATACCTTGAAACTTTTCATCTTAAATTGGTTTTGTTTCAGAAGTGACTGAGACAAGAAGATGGAAATGCTAATTTTGTTTTGTCATCTACCACTTTGACCATTTTAAATACTGTGCTGAAATAGTTATGCAGGGATTGGTGTAAGCACTTGCATTTTTGTGCTCACAAAATAGCAACAACTCTGAATGACATAATTTGGTTCCAAATATCACAGTTCAGGGTTGTACCTGGGTTCAACTTCTACAGGACAAGGGCAGCCTACCTACAGTTACCAAATGGAAACTATTTCCACTTTGTATTTAGTTCACAGTTTGGAAGCAAAAGTTGTACCCAGAAGTTAAATGAATTGCTAGCATCACACTTCTGCTAGCTCTCCAAATAATTTTTATGGCAAAGCTTAGAGAATTTTAAAGGATGGCTTGCACCAACTCTGAAAGAATTGACCTAAGAGAAACATCTGGGGTTTTTTGTTTGGGTTTTTTTTTGTTTTGTTCGATTTGTTGTGGGGTTTTTTTTTTTAATATAATTTTGCTTTTAGAAAACCACATCTTAGTAAATTAAATAATCTACTCTTAAAGCAGTAAAAATATTTTTAGTGCTGTTTTTTTAAATAATAATCTGATTTATTATTTAGTAATATTTGAACTTAATCACCATTTTGGTGAGGTCACAATCTTCACATTTGTGATATTGTTGCAGTAAGAAGGCTGGGAGGGTATTGGGGGCAGAGAATGAAGTAAGAATATTTTTGTCTTGAAGTCATCAGTTCAGGTCCTGCCTGGGCCAAGTGGCATTGCCCCCATATCAGTGGGTGAGGGCCTGAGCTGGTTTTCTGCAGGCTCTGCAAAACAAGATGGGCCACCCCCTGCTCAGCACTTGGGATAAAGCTGTCATTATTTGATGGATATTTAGTGGCACTTTGTGAAATGAAATGGAGGCCTGTGTGGCTGTAGTCTTTGCTTTCACTGTGTGTTAACCATGGGGTGAGTAATTGAATGCTCATCCATGTGTGATCATCTGCACTGCCACAAGCTCATTATCAGCATTAGTGTGCTGAAGTCACCCGAGGCTCCATAATGATGTTGTATGTGGCCACTGCAAGAAGTGCTGCTGTCTTTGTCTTTGTCCCAAGACAACAGCCAGCAATTCCCAGTAGCTGTTGGAAAATCTCAGTTTATAGAATTATTACAATTCTTTTCTGCTGCAAGCTAGAATCTAAAATCTGCCAAGAAATTTGTATTGCTTGCATGCCTGCTGGTCAGATGCTGTGGCTGTTGTTTTATTTTATTTAGGGTGAGGGCTGGGTGCAGCTGGCTAAGCATTGTATACGATGAGACTACAGAGAAAGAACAGAGGAATAAAAACCAGAATACTTCATGTGATATCTCAAGTCTGTGGAAGAACGGTGTTTGGGGCTTCATGTTGTGTCATTACATCAGTAGGTTCCTGGTTATTCCATTTCTGCTTCATTTTTTTCAGGGTTTTCCCTGAAGCTTCAAGAGCTGTATCTGCTTTGTCCCATGATACTAGCAAAGGTGTGTAAATGGGTGAACACACCTATCAACCGTGAAAACCAGTAGTGAGGACAAAAAGGATGTGGTAAAGTGTGGGGCTGCCATGGGGAGAGGCAGCCTCTCCCACCTCTGTGAGGACAGGATGTGTAGAAGGTACTCTTTGGAGTTAAGAAAAACTTTTACTGACATTTTCCATCACATTCTGGATCTCTACAGAACCCAGTCATACTTACTGATGCACTACGCTGGGACATCAATGATTTCTGAGAAGAGATTTACTGACTCACTTCACTGAACGATTTCTTGAATATCCTTGTTGTGTCACCCCATGATACTATGTTGGAGATCCTGTGACAGTTCCTGCACCACCAGTTTCCTGCCAGTGCCCTTTTTGTCCTTGTGGCCCAAGCCACTCCTTAAAAAAGGCTATTCAGCTCTCCTGAAGCACCCATAAACATACCCTGCTAAATGCTGTGGGAGAGGAAGGAGAGACTTCACAGCTGGAGTGAGAATTGGAAATTCAAGACTTGTCCTCTTCTGCTGTCCAGGAGAGCACTGACCACTGAAAGTAGATTGATCAGTGTCAAAGATGAATGAGAGGATTGAGAAGACAGAGCAACTTTTTTCTACATATTTACACATTTATTTGGAAAGGAGGGGAAATGTTATCAACTATTTCAGGCATTTTTTTTGGGTAAATGACAAAGCATTTTGGTATGCAGGAAACAACTGCTTCCCCTCTAGAGTTTTTTGGCACTTGAAAGGAAACAAGCCAACTCCAAACCTCTAAAGAGGAGAGCAGTTACAAAGACTGATTATTCTCCCTGTAAAGCTTTTTAGGAGTTTCTCTTGCATCAGACAGAATGATGATTCTTCTACACCCCAGTAATACCATTGTGTTTCATTTGGAAGAGTTTACCTGTATGCAGCAATGGACAGTACTGGAGTTTTATAAAATTCATATCTGCTACCAAGGACATTATATGTGGAATATTCCATGTAAGTCAGTCCCCAAAATAGTTAATAAAGTGCCAAAATAATAAAGAATGTTTACTGCAGAATTTCATGAGGAGACTTGAAATTCCACTTATGCTGAAGAAAACAGGGAAATGTCATCAGTTTTTAGAATGTTGTTCTGTTTTAGAAACAAGAGTCTTTTCTTCTAAATCCTTATTATGTTGAGGGGTTTGGTTGTTTGTCTGTTGGTTTACAAGGACATTTGCCTTAGATGCATGTTTAGTGCATATGTAGTATGATGATTTTGGTTATGTGTGTGTTCTCACAGCCAGACAGACTGTTGTATCCATGCAAACCTTTCCTGACCTCAGAGATGGTCTGGGCAAACTTAGGGAGGAGGTCTTCTGTTGTGTGCTTTGTAAGTCAGGGACTTCTCTAATGCAGAAAAGGGGGGTCAGAATATCAAATATGAAGTTGTATTTATTGAGTGGGACTGGAGGACAGACAGAGATGCAAAAACCTTAGGGATTAATGGGTAAGGTACTGCTGTGCAAGTGCAATTTCTTTCATGTGTTACAGGATGGCTTGAATAGCAAGAAAATTCACTTTGTTAAAT